CACATTTTTGTAATTATCATTGCCATAATTACCTAAATGACCAACTGATTGTGTTAGCGGTTTGCAAAAAAAGTGTTTAGTAAAATTAGTTATTTTTAATTAGTTGTTGACATGTAAAATACCTATAAGGACATCAACATACTTTATCATTCATATTTATGTTGAGCTTATATTTATTTAGGAAATAAAAATAATTTATTTTTTTGTTAAATATTTACTAAAGTTATTTAAATTATAATAAGGGGGTTTTTTCAATTCGGGACCTGAAAGATTTGTTTTCTCAATTCGGGACCTGAATGTTATAAAATTATCAAATTAAGCTTAATTTGATAGTTTTATAACATTCAGGTCCCGAATTGAGAAAAAAAATCTTTCAGGCCCCGAATTGATAGTTTACATATCTTTCGGGCCTTGTATTGAAAAAAACCCTAAAAAGAAATATAACAACCAAAAATTAAAACATAACTTTTCATTCAACAATAGAAAAACATTAAACAAAATTTGATATATCTATTGCTACTACTTAATTATTTGAACTTAAACATAACTCTTTGTCATGTCTTCATCGGACATTTCATTGTCCTTCTTCTCGAGGTTTCTTCTGACAGTAAGACTTGATACCGTACAACAAAACCACCAAAGCAAAAACTACAAAAAAAGCTATGACCAAATATACCATATACGACACAGCTAAATCCATTGCTTTGTTGATTGTATGTATGTATGTATGTATAATTCCAAAATCAAATGTATTTCAATATTTTTCAAGCCTTGGATCTTTTATAGGACAAAAAAAATTGAAGTAATTTATTCATGTATGGAAATTAAATCATGAAAAGATTTTTCTTCCCAAAAAAAAAAAAAAAATATCTAAATATAATATCTAAACATGATAGGAAACTAATATAAAAATATAGGATGATAATTAGGAAACTAATATCAAAATATTAGATTTAGAATATTGGACAAAACATGAAAGGTTAATATATATCTAAATATGAGATTTAGACTATTTAGATCATAAAATATATAAATTGGAATATATCTTGTGATCTAGACATAGTCTTCTAAATATATTTTCGATTTTTTTTTTTTTTTTTTTTGTAGCATTGTTTATAATCGTATTACATATGTAATCTTTATTTTTTTTTTTCAATAAACTTAATCATTCTCTCGAGATATCATCTCCTTTATATATAATTTCATACCGCGCTGAACTAGATGGCAGTTTGAACGTTTCGTAATCTCATGTTGCAAAATATTATGCTTTGTATAAAAAAAAAAATATGTTTTGTAACATGGCTCGGATAAGAATTACTCATTTTCTATTTGGATGGTAAGGTTTGGATTGCCATATACATATACATATTTAATATATTTAAAACATTCCAAATAAATCAAATTATTATCTCAATTTTATAATGTGCACATAATCTTACTTTCCAAATTTTGTGCTTTGTCCATATTATTTCCCTTATGTGTTTTAAAAAAATATTATAAATCTATACTTATCTAATAAGCCATCTTATTTACTATATATAGTATTAAGAAAAGTCAACATTAATTAATGTATCCTATTTTTAGGTTAGTAATTTATTTACTTATTTTATTTATTTGTTTCTCCCCATTACATATCGGTTTAATAAAAAAATACCCATAAAATTTGTTTTCTCAAAAAATTGTACATAAAATCCAAAAAAAAAAAGACATATTCGATCGATGATAAAAGATTTGATCGGTCAAAGTTATATCTTTATTTTACATCACCCATAAATAAAGTAGATATCAAGCCTAAATTAAAGGGTTTAGTTGTATATTGATTTACATAAATACATCTAATTTTTAAAGTTTGTATATATTCAAAATTCCTTCTTATCTTTTTATCACCGATCGGTTCTAATTGTATGGAAAGTTGTTTAGATTTTTTTCTCTAGATGTAAACCGATTTTCGTATAATGAGATTTTTTCATAAAAATATTAACCGCTATTGTATTTATCGATCGAATATAAATTACAAATCTCAAAATATTGAGCCATCGTCTTCGTCCCTGTCAACCTCTACCTCTTGCGAACAAAAAAATATCTTCAATCAGTCTTTTGAATCAATGATTTGACATAATCAAATAAGTTAATAGGTCTAATAGGTCTATGCTGAAGGCTCGAATTGTAAGAATGTTTTTCAAGACCGAACAACACATACAAATCCTATCTCGAGTTGGTTTTTCATGATAAAACTGTAAGACTAATTATTGTTACTTTTTTTTTTAATTTCGAACTATGAAACATATATTTTCTATTTTTTTAATTTTATTTTTTAAATTTAAAATTTGTCTTCTTTCTTTTTATCGTATATGTATTCAGATATTTAAATTATTTATATTTTTAAAAAAATTAATTTTTTATTGATTATTTTTTTGTACATGTTTAGGAAAATCGCATTACGACATGGCTACGGCCAATCAACTTGGTTGCATTTAGAGAGAGAAACTTTGAAGAAGACAGGATCATTTGTATCAAGAATTATCAAGTGAACATCAATCTAGGAAAGTACCGTTCGACATCCAGTGATTTTAAGATCATGCTACACGGGAGCAATTATATGTTGTTGTTTCGCGTGTAACTAATAGAAGGGTTGAAGATATTAGTTTGTGAGGATGACGAGTTGCCCAATAATCAAACTCATAATGTTGTGTACAATGAGGTCTTTCCTAATATATGATTGTTTCTTTGTCGAATACAATTTTTTTGTACAATTTTACTGCGTATTAAAAAACTTTTATTGAATATTGCATCTTATAATATATATTACCCAAATAAATATATCCCGTGACTCGCACAAGTCACGTACTATATATATCTCGTACATTTTACTTTATTCATTTATATAATTATAAGCCTGGATAAATAGCCTTAAAATTATGCACCCCGTGCATCGCACGGGCTCTGTACTAGTAACATTAATGATGCATATAAATTATTTTCATAATTTAAAATCACCCCTATATATGATTGCAGAATACGCTGAGCCTAAATGGCAGCCTCGCATGCTTCGGAATCCTACTTGGCGAAAAAACATGCTTCGTAGATAGGTTTGGATAAAAAATAATATTATTCTAAATCAATAATTTTAGGTTCGGACATTCCAAAAATATTGAAAAACTAACTTAGTAATTTCATAATAGTTTTACTAATATAACCCTTAAGTTGTATTGGAATATATGGTAATAATATTGATTGACTAATATAACCTTGATTTGTTTTGGAAACTTGATTCATTAATTTCAATAAAAACCTAAAATTAGCCTAATAAATATTATATATATATATATATATATATATATATTAACAATTTTTGTTGTTATTATCATTTAATTTTAAAAATAATTTTCTTAACAAGTACCCGTGTAATACACGGGTATTGTACTAATAATATTGTTAATTTACATTAGTTCTTTATTAAAAACTGTTATATATTGTTCTTTATTTATTTTTTATTTTTTTATTTTATTTTTTTCGAAATGATAGAAGTTATATAACTCGAAAACGGAAATGGTACAATGTCTTTACAAAATATATATTTTTTTTTTATTTCTTGTTGTAGATTTAATTATTTTATCATCCACCCGTATAGTACATGAGTATGATACTAGTTAACTTAGTAAAACACGTAAAAAGTTAATAGCAAAAAAATTTATATTCATTAAAACATTTTGATGAATTAAGGTAAATGACAAATTTTCTAGGATTTTAACGGAATGCCAAATAGGTGATAAATAGTGAAAAATGGTTATTTTTTGGTTCATTTAGTACAAATATTTTTTTATTTTTATTTTACATGAGGAGAAAATATTTTTATAATAATTTAGTGCGTTTACAATAATCACAAATTCGTGTGTGATTGAGCCATACTTTTTGGACAAAATTACATAAATTTGATATAAATTATCAAATGTCTCTTTTTGTATTATTTGCCTTATCACAATTCTTATTTGAAGAGTCATACTATTTGGAAAAAAAAAAATGGTTTGCCTTATCAGTTATCACAATTCTTATTTGAAGAGCCATACTATTTGAATTTTACAAAATCGGTTGAAAATTTTCGAAATGAATTAGAGCCGAGCTTGAGCATTTGAATTCGAGTCGAGCTTGAACCTCAAAAATCGAGCTCGACAACTCGAGCAGCTAAAAAAAAAAAAAATTCAATCTTGCTCGATAAGGTCAATGTTCGACTCGACTCGACTCGTTTGGAGCCCTAGCAATGACTATTGTTAAATTGGAACTGCAAGATAAGATTTATTTATTGAAAAAGGCAAGTTAGCAAGATTAAGATTTAGATTGTAGCTAGTAAATTATTATACGGTTGGTCTTATATTAATTATTATGCAAATAACACGAAAATAGTATGATATTTGGTAGCCACTAAAAGTACATATATTAAAAGTATACATATATATATATATATATATAAGGGGTAATTTAATAATTTAACATATATCTCGAGCCATTCGACAAGGTAAAATTTGGGCTCGAGCTCGACTCGAGTTCGGTCAAGCCCAATCTCGAGTCGAGCTTTGACTCGAACAGCTCGCGAGCAGCTCGGTTCGTGTGCAGCCCTGGTCATTGCTAAACATAGTATTCTGCATAGAGCACCTCTTTTAGCTCCATCCTCTCTATTCCAATGGTCTTCAATCTTTCACCAACGTTTTCATGAGTAGCATGCATCAAGGTCCTCTCTTTATTTTTCTTTTCAAACACAAACCAAACCATCACCTTATTCTAATTGGCCAAAAAAAAAGCACAAACACAAGGAAGTAAAAAGGAAACAGTTAAAAACAACACTTAATTACCACCTGATATATAACACCATAAATCCACAAACTTAATCAACACATCTAACATACTAACATAGATTGTGCCACATTACTTAATAACTGAAATAACTAACTTATACCATTCAAACCACAAACTAAATCATCACCACATAAAACACTTCTCAATTCTCATGCATCATATTCCAACTCATCCTGAATCCCTTTCAAGAACTTAAGCACATGCAGCATCGTCGGCCGCCCGGCCGGATTCTCAGACAGGCAAAGCACCGCAATCTGCAGAGTCCTCAGCATCATCTGCTTCGAATCAGCATCCAAAACCTCCCGGTCGAGCACCTCAACCGCCTTCCCCGCCTTAACCTTCCCTACAACCCACCCCACCAGATTCCCACCTTCCACATCCTTAAAATCCGGTCCAGTCGGCTCCTTCCCGGTCAACAGCTCGAGCAAGATCACCCCAAAACTGTAAACATCCCCTCTCGTGGTCGACTTCCAGCTCTGCCCGTACTCGGGCGGTATGTACCCGAAAGTGCCCGCAATATCCGTGCTCACATGCGTCTCGCACGCGCTTATGAGACGAGCAAGCCCGAAATCCGCAACTTTCGGCTCGAAATCCTCGTCCAGAAGGATATTGCTTGCCTTTATGTCTCGGTGTATGATGTGGGGTATGAACCCGTGGTGGAGGAATGCGAGTCCCCGAGCAGACCCCACTGCAATCCGAAAAC